AAACCATTCTGGAACATTGTAACTTTGTTCACCAAAATTCAATGTCGATGATGATGATGATGGCTATATTCACATCAGTGGCAGGATAATTTCATTTTTTACGTAATTTGCTGTCGATATGTTCGTCGGTGTCCAAATGTGTGTAGGATGTGAACGGATCTTGACAGAAATTTTTCATCAAATTATAAATTGTGATTAATGAACAGTTTTTTCGTTGTTGTGAAGAAAAAAGGTTAATTGAAAATTGTTTTTTTTTCGCGCCAAATTTTGATAGATCCAAAACAACGAAACACTCCCATTTTGATGAATGGAAAAATGAGCAAAAAATTTACGAAATGGTTATGGTCACAATTGAAACAGTTGTATCATCGAATTAACTGAATGAAACTTTTTTTTTTTGAATGAATACGTTTCATTGTGACTATTAACCAATTTTCTCTTTTGCTGTTTGCTCATGTTTTATGTGTGTTACGCATGTTTTTATGTTGAACACAGACGTAACATTCGATTTTTTTGTTTGTTGTTGGAACAATTCATTCTGTTTTTTTTTGTTTGTTTGTTCCAGGAACAATAGAATTTGAAATCTGTTTTTTTTTTTGTTTCTCTTTCGTTTGTTTATTGAATTTCTGTGTGTGTTTCTGAAACATGTCAAGAAAAAAAATTTCTCTTCATCCGATCATTGTTGCAACAAACATCAATTTCCAAATTTGAGAAGAAATCATTGAAAAAAAAACAACATAATAATAATCTTCTTCCTTGCGATTATGCCAAAAAAAAATAAAACATCACATCAGACGACGAATTATAATTAGACATCAGTGTCTTTGCATCGCTTGTTGGTAAATAAATTTGATATTGAAAAAAACAAACAAACAAACGAATGAATGAATGAAAATGATTATAAAATATCAACAATAACAACGTTGAATCAACGACAACAACAACCAGAGAATAAAAACTTGCAATGATCATCAATTTTTTTTTTGACGATCATCATCATTATCATCATTTGATAAACCTCGAACAAAAACAACAACGAATCTTTCAACATTTTCAAATCTTTTGAATTTCGAATCCAAACCAAACATTCGAATCCAATCAAAAAACATTCGAATCATATTGAAACATTCGAATGTTCAAAGAGTCATCATATTCATATTCAAACTCTTTTTTTGCCTCTTTCTCTCTTGTTTCATTTCATTTCAATTTTGGATAATTTATCTTCCCCTTCATTTTTTTTTTTTTTTTTTTGAAATATAAAGTAAGTATATCATCATCATCATCATCATCAATTGATATTTTAAAATCATTTATCATCATGTATATAGAACGAAAGAGAAAGAGACAAACTTTTTTTCCATCATCATCATCATCATCATCATGATGATGTTCATTCACACAAAATATGTTTTGGAAAGAAGAAAATGAAAAAAAATGAAAAAACACAAGCGAGAAAATCCTAAATCAGATTTTTTCTGATTTTCCTTATGGTCTTGTTTTTTTTTCTCCTCGCAAATAGACAAAATATTCAACAAACAAACAGTAATGCAAAAAAAGTTCTAGTTTTTCATTCATTCATTCATTCATATATAATCTATGTGTTCCTATTTCGTTCCTCTCAATAATAAATGTGATTTTTTTCGTCAGTTTTCGTTAGTTGTCGGGTTATAGTTATAGTTAGTTAGCTAAGGGAGAATCTTTCATCATTTTTATCAACAGCAGCAATAGC